CCCAGTCCCGTACTGGTTCCCGGTCGCCGCCGCCGCCGTCGCGTACTGGGAGGCCTCGGTGGCCGCCCCCGCCCCCCCCGCCCCGGCCGCGCTGGCCGCCCCCGAGGCCGCGTACTGGGCGGCGCTGGCCGCGTACTGGGCGGCGCTGGTGGCGTACTGGGAGGCGTCCCCGGCCCCGTACTGGGAGCCGTCGGTGCCGTACTGGGAGTACTGGGAGTACTGGGAGGCGAACTGGGCGTACTGGTACTGGTACTGGGCCGCCGCCGCCGCCGTGCCGGTGCCGTACTGGGAGGAGCCGGTGGCGTACTGGGAGGAGCCAGTGCTGTACTGGGAGGAGCCTGTGCCATACTGGGAGGATGCTGGGCTATACTGGGAGGAGGCCGAGCTGTACTGGGAGGCGGCCGAGCCGTACTGGGAGGAGCCCAGCGAGTACTGGGCCATGCGGGCGGCCATGCTGGGCGTCATGGCGAAGGGGGAGGGGCTTCTGGGCGTGGCCCCGCCCCCTCCCAGCGAGGCCCCGCCCCTGCCGTGGTAGCAGCAGCCGCGGTGGCCGCAGGGGCTGATCCGATTGGCCGCCGCCATCGAGGCCACGCCCACGTTGCCGTGGAAACGGTGCATGCAAGCCCCACCCCCCAAGCGGGCCGAGCAGCCCAGCCCCGCCCCCCCCAGGTTGCCGTGGAAACGGTGCAGGCAAGCCCCGCCCCCTCCCAACCGCGGCCACGCCCCCCCGGTCACGCCCCCCCGCAGGAAGGGGGAGGAGGGGGAGCGGGGGCTCCACCCCCCGCGCGTGGGCGTGGCCAGGAAGGGCGCGGCCGCGCGCTGGAAGGAGGCGGAGCCTGGGCTGCGGGCAGCCAATAGGGGGAAGGGACCCCCGCCCCGCCCGGCCACGCCCCGCCCGGCGGCGGCCAATGAGAGCAGGGAGCCGGGGGGGCGGGGCGAAGGCCGCAAGCCACGCCCCCCACCGGGGGTGAGTGACAGCAGCGAGCCGGGGGCGCGGGGCAGGGCCGAGGCCCCGCCCACGGCCGCGGGTTTGAGTGACAGCAGGGGCGTGGCCGCCGTGGGTGTGGCCGCACCGGAAGCGGGCGTGGCCGCGGTGGAAGTGGGCGTGGCCGTGGGGGAGGTGGGCGTGGCAGTGGCTGGGGGCGTGGCCGTGGTTGGGGGCGTGGCCGGGGCGGCCTCGGTGACAGCAGGGGGGGCAGGG